ATGTTGTAGGAATGTATCTTGTAAGGAAGCACGATATCGATTATACTGATGCGCTAGGCGGCCGGTCTTGTACGAATTGTGGAATGCAAATGAACACTATATTTCCATGCAACAAGTGCCCATATTGCACACATTGAAAAACTATTGTGAACAGTATTGTGAGCGAGATACTACTGAAAAATATGTAGGAAGACTGTAGATGATGTGCTGTATGTTCTCAGTAATCTGCAAAAAAGAGACATAGATGCACGAATATCGCCAGTGCAATTCCTACGCGATCGTGAATTAGGTATAAGTGGTGAGAAACATGGAACAGTTATCAGAGAGCCCATTTCTGACTGGTCTTTACTCGTGCGACAGAAAGTGTATCTACGATTACGAGACAAATGTTACGAGGACGATGAATATGAAAAGAGCCATTGATGAAATAGAAATATCAATGTAATAAAGGACGATTATTATTGGACGAAGAAAATCGCAGATAAGAGCCAAGGTTGGTGCATCTGCATTAAGATTCCTGCAGGTAAGGAAAAGTGCGAAAATCGAACTACTGATTATTGACAATACATGGATGGAGTTTCATGATCGCGATCTTGCACCAAAACTATTTTTCGACAGATGCGACGATCAATGCTTTGAGTGTGAACAATGCATTTCCGCAAACAAACATAATGAAAAAGTGTTAGAACATTATGATTTTCTAGATATGTCGCGGTGCTGCAACGTGTGTGAACAAGTCACGTGCAAGTGCTCCCTGGAAGAGTGTGACGTGATCTAAAGAAAAAAAAAAAAATGGAAAATCACGAGCGAGTGGAACGCGAACTGTTGGAGCAGTGCAGCCAGGTTGCTACTCTGGTGGAATGTTTCGCGTGGCTGCAACGATGCGACAAGTGCATCAAGCGGCTCGAAGAGCTTTGTCGTGCCAAGCATCCGCGCCTCACCGTTGGACACAGACAATCCATGGTGGCGAGAATCGCGCGACTCACGGGTGCAAAGACACAATTAGAGCGACGTTTCGTGCACGTTGGTGGTGGGTACGCGAGTCGCGACGAATGATCTCTCTGGCGAGAGATTGACGCCGCGTTTGAAAGCCGTATATTGACGGGTGCTGTGGTCAACGTCGATTACATCGAGTCGCGGCGGTTTTTGGAAGACGCGAGAGAAATAGTGCTCGAACGTGTGCGAAACGCCATCGAAAGACACGGTAGTGCAAAAGTGAACACTGCGTTCAACACGGCGAGTTTATGACAAACATCAAACGTGACATTAAAAGTATAAACACTAAGAATCGCGAGATATACCGATACACCGATTTGCGCGAGTGGTACGAGCAGCATATCGAACCCACGTTGACATCACTCGAAGAGTTCCAGGAACGCGACAGCGGGTGGGCATTGTCGCGAATCCTCAATTTGGTAGTGAATGTGAACAAACTAAATCCCATGCGCGCGGGATGTTACTTCGAGGTGCCGCGGGAAATAGCGACGAAACGAGCGGTGATCAATGTTAGAACGACAGACAATGCGTGCTTCGCGTGGTCGGTGGTCGCCGCTCTGTACCCGGCTGAAAAGTATACGAAGCGAGAGTCATCGTATTCACATTATACGGTGCTGAATCTCGCGGGTATCGAATTTCCGATAACGTTCAAAGACATTCCGAAATTCGAACGGTTGAACGCGGTGTCGATCAATGTATACGGCATCGAGAATAAACAAGTTCTTCCTCTGCGGCTCACCAGTGACAAGAAGGACAAGCATGTCAATCTCATGTACATGCAAGATCCACGCGACGACGGTGTCGGCCACTTTGCGTGGAACAAGAACCTGTCGCGTCTCGTGAGATCACAAATTACCAGGAAAAAGAACAAGAAATATTTCTGCGACCGGAAAGTACACATGAAAAAATTATTATAATTTCCCATCTTATTAATAAAATATAGGTAACTGTTATAATTTTTTTGTTTTTTTCAGATGCTTGCATTACTTCAGCACAAATGAGAAATTGCAGTCGCACACAATGGATTGCCAGAAGATCAACGATTGCGCTATTCGACTGCCGAGCGAGGACGAAAAGTGGCTCGAATTTGGGAACAACTGCAACAAGGAGCGCGCCCCATTCGTCGTCTACGCCGACTTGGAGTGCGTTTTACGGAAGACAAGACGGAACCCGACAGGGAAGATGCGTCGTCGTACGCGTATCAACAGCATGAGGTATTCAGTATAGGCTACAACGTGCGTTGCTCGTACGATGACGCGTTATCGTCGTATCAGTTCCGTCGCGATAAAGATTGTATAGCGTGGTTCGCGCAATAACTCAACGATTTGGCGCATCTCGTGAAAAATATCATATCTGCCAACGTGGCATGGAAACGTTGTCGAAAGAACAATGGGAGGCGTACCATAGCGCGACGCGTTGTCACATCTGCGAGAAACCGTTCGCGTCGGACGACACGCGGGTAAGCGATCATTGCCACTTAATCGGTAGATACCGCGGTCCAGTGCATTCAAACTGTAATTTAAATTATAAAAATTTATTATATATTCCGATCGTTTTTCACAATTTATTGGGCTACAACGCGCATTTTATAATTAAGGAAATCGCTACAGCATATGAAGTACGCGTAGATGTATTACCGATAACCAAAGAAAAATACATCTTCACAAAACATGTCGATAGCACTAAAGATAAAACTGAAAATAATTCTCAAAGAAATTGTGAAAAATATCGTTTTATTGATTCTTTTAAATTTCTCAGTACAAGTCTCGATAAATTAGCGTCGTATCTCGATAAAAACAAATTAAAAATTATACGTTCAAAATTTTCAATACTACCGGATGATGAATTTGAATTACTGACTCGTAAAGGTGTCTTTCCGTACGAGTACGTTGACTGTGCCGAAAAATTGCAGGACACGCGCTTACCACCGCGCGAATCTTTTTTAGTACAGTTCGTTAACGAGCGATACCGTATCCGAGAGCGATTACGCTCACGTGGCAAACGTATGGCAGCGATTCTCCATCTGAACGTTCGGCGAGTACAGTGATCTGTACTTGAAAAGTACAGATAATAGTAACAGTATACAGACCGATGTCTTGTTATTAGCTGACATTTTCGAAAATTTCTGCGAAAGTTGCGTCGCGAGTTATGGTCTCGATCCCGCACATTATTACACCTTGCCTGGTTTCACATGGGACGCGATGTTAAAACATACGCGTGTAAAGTTTGAGTTGCTCATTGATATTAACATGATCATGTTCATAGAGCGCGGTATACGCGGTGGTTTCAGTCAATGTTCAGGCATACACGCGCGGGCTAATAACAAATACATGCATTCGTACGACCCATCGGAACCGTCGTCATACTTGATGTACTACGACGTTAACAATTTATACGGATGAGCGATGTGTCAACCATTGCCATACGCCAAATTTCAATGGGTCGAAGACGCTGCGAACTTTGACGCGAGCGCGATCGCTCTGGATTCGCCCACCGGTACATTCTCGAAGTCGATCTCGAGTATCCGCAGCATATACACAACCGACACACTGACCTACCGTTCTGTCCGACGCGCGATAAGCCGCCCGGCAAGCGCGAACATAAACTTTTTTAGCGACGCTGTACGATAAACAGCGTTACGTCATCCATTACCGCAACCTGCAGCAATGTACTCGTCACGGTCTTCGCGTAACAAAGATCCATCGGGTGCTACAATTCGCGCAATCTCCATGGCTTCGCGATTACATTGAACTTAATACAAATTTCTGAACGCGTGCGAAAAACGATTTCGAAAAAAATTTGTATTAATTAATGAACAATGCGGTATTCGGTAAAACTATGGAGAATGTGCGCAACCACGCTGACGTAAAATTATTAACAAAATGGAATGGACGGTACGGCGCGGAGGTAATGATTGCAAAACCAAATTTCCACAGCCGTAGCGTCTTTGCGGAAAATTTAATAGCCGTCGAATTGCGCAAACTCGAGGTGAAGTTCAACAAACCGATTTACGTGGGTATGTGTATACTCGACATATCTAAAGTCTGCTTGTACAAATTTCACCACGAGTATATGTTACCACTGTTTCGCGACAAATGTAAAATAATGCACCGATACAGACAGTCTTATATACCGCGTCGAGTGCGAAGATGTTTATGAGACTATGAAATGCGATATCGCTAGATTTGACACGAGCGATTATCCGACAACGCGTACGGTATGCCTCTCGCGAACAAAAAAGTATCCAGCCTGATGAAGGACGAAAATAACGGTGCGATAATGACCGAATTCGTTGGTCTCAGAGCGAAGATGTACGCTGTGAGAGTGGACGGCAAGAAGGATATTAAAAAGGTGAAAGGCGTAAAGAATAATGTCGTAGCGCAAAACGATAACGTTCGACGATTACACGCGATGTTTGAACGAAGAGATCGAAATGACTCGTCGTCAATCGTGTATACGATCTAAACTACACGAGGTATACACGATATCCGAATCGAAAATCGCTCTGAGTCCATACGATGACAAACGATAGACGTCGTACCGAATTCGACGGAGACATTACCGTGGGGACATTGGCGGATACCTTTGTAATATATGTACATATCAACATTTATATTACTATTATGTTTATACATTTTTTATATTTTCATATATGTATTACTATTATTATGCTTTATGTATTATCTTAATTTGTACTTTGTGTATGTCTTTTTACATTTTTTAAATATTCTCGTACAATCTACATACCTGTTACTATTATGTACTATTATCATTGTAATTTACGCATTATGTTTTTACGTTGTATGTAAGTATTACTATTATGTTTTATGTAATATCATTTATTATGTATTACTGTTATTTTTTATTTCATGTATCGTACATTTATATACGTATTTTATATCTGTATACTCTAAAAATGGAAAGATAATGAAAAAAAAATATTTTACACGTTTATATTCTTATATTGTTATATGTATACAAAATATATCAATTAAAAAAAATTATCAAATAACATTGTTTTTGTGTATCCATGAATTGTACGATCCATCGAATCCCAGCCACTTGACGTACACTTTGTCGCCCTTCCTGCGCAACACTTTCTCCACGAGATACACGTCCGGATGAGTAGCGCGATGCAACTCGTGCTCGTAGAACGCTCCAGCGACGGATTTTCCACGATAGTCCTCGAGTAGATAAGTTACGGGATTGGTACGCTGCACCTTAACGATCGTAAACACTTCGGTGGTCCAATTTGGTGTAACCCTTCTAAAAAATCGTCTTGTACTTGCTCACGCGTACCGAATCATCTACTTTGAATTTTGCAGGACCCGCTATCTTTATCGCACTGTACACTGTGTCCAACAGTTTTTCGGCGATCGCAGAAGTTACGTCCGAGGATCGCATGCCGATGGTGCGATGCTTGCGCGCGCTGTAATCTGACACCAGACGCGGCAGCTCGTCGACCCACTTGTAATTGCCGTTGAGTGTAAACATCTTCCACATGTCGTTTTTGAGCGCGCGATTGAACCGCTCGACCACTGACGCTTTCAACGTCGAATACGTGGAATAGTGATTAACATTGTGGTTTTTCATGATATTCTGTACATCTGCAATGTAAAATTCTTTCCCCATATTCGTTTGTAAATTTTTCGGACATCTTTCGCTCTCTCGAACGATCTCAGCGAGCCGTCTAGCGTTAGCTGTCTCGCTTCCATTCTTGCTCTTGAGCGGAACGGCCCACGCGTACTTGCTCAACACATCGATGGTGGTGAGTATGTAGTGGTAGCCTCTGTTGAAACTCGAGTACGGACGCATCTCAACGATATCAGCCTGCCACAGATCGTACCCTCGGACTATGACACGCCTTCGCGGAAAATTTCTTCTCGCCGGAGCGTGCAATTTCTCGACGAGTTGACGTTTCACGGAGCTAATTTGTTCTCTCTTTTCATCGGATTTCTTTTTCATGATTCGACGTGTAATACACAGAGTACAAGAAATTAATGTATTTTTCTCGCTGGCGTCACTCGACTGACTCGTTTTATGAATACGCGATTTAATTTATAATAAGACCGGCTTCGCGAAGTTCCTCAATGATCGACAGCATCTCGTTGTCGTGAGCGTTGTTACCTGCTCGGTGCGAAGCGTCGAGCAATCGTAGACGATCCACCAGCTCATTGGGATCATCCCAGTGCACGTAATCGATCGCATTGTCGTTCAACGTTATTGCGTGAGGTAATCCCTTTCCAGATTTCTTCTATTTCTTAGGTGTCACCGACATCAACGGCGCGATTACGTATTTGTACTTGTATCCTCTGTTGCTCAATAATCGACCCTGTGAATGGTACTTGTGTTTGTGCGCGTTCGTCACCAACAGCATGCTCTTGTACTTGTGCATATCGTCTTCCGTGTAGAGGGCATCGTCGGGAATTCTCTTGAAAATCAACTCGTAAAGATCTGGTGTACCGGCGTATCGTACGCCGTCGATAATTATGTTGTCCGCGTCATCCACGTCGAAACGTTTATTGCCAAACATCAGCCCATCCTTGTGTAGGTAAACACCGTGCACGCGATCTATACCGCTCTCTTTATCTCACCTCAGGACGGCCTCGACTTACTTTTGATTCAGCGGGCCCAAACCAGCTCGTAACGTCTCTCGACGTTTACAGCTGATTTTGAACCGTCGCTAGCGAGTCTTCCGTCGTTTCGAAAACGTTCTCCAACGACTCTATCGTTGGTATGATTTTGGCACGTGGAGTGGAGGTTATTGGTTGTACATCACATCGTGAGATCGATCATTGGATTTATGCAGAGTCGTGGAACGTCTTGCTCGCTTCTTCTCTCTCCTCTTGCTCCTCTTCCTCCTTCCTCTCGCGTTTATGGGCAGACGTTGTATCTTCGTCGCGCGACTCTCTCTTTGTCGCGCGCACGCCGGGTCTATCGACGAAAAGTCGCAGCGGCTCGATAAGAGGCGTAAAACGTCTGTCCAACGCGATGCCCTCCTCTTCTAGTCTTCAGAGCGCGATGTTTCTTGCGGATCGACTTGCTCGTCTTCTCGATCGCTCTCGCGATTTTTTCACGCTCGCGCACATCTGCCATGTTCGTCTGTGACTAAGTCGACAACGATTGGTCGCGTTACGGTATCGCGAACTCGTTAAATCCTTTTCTGTATCGTCCATTTGTGAGCGCACTGTCTTTGTCTATCACTACGAATCCATATTTTTGTTGCCAACAGGCGTGGCACAACGTGCAAAATTCGTTATACGACATATCGGTATTTACATGATCGTTGTAAACATGTTTCAAGTTGGTACCGTCCTGTTTGAATAGGATCAGAAGGTTCGCCTTGTCGCGTATCAGATGTTTAGGTATCCTCGCGTACGTCTGACAGAGATAAAAGCAGTCAACGTTCGCGTGGCGACCCATCGAAAAGTATTCTCTCACCGCATCCTGCTAGTCGCATGCCACGTCATCAAAGATAAAAATAGAATTTGGACGCGCCTCGGTGGAACGACGTCGCTGTTGGAGAACGTAAAGTAGCCGATTTCGTCGATAGACGTAAATAAATTTTCGAGATATCGATACTTTGGCTGTTGCAACGATTTCGAATAGACGTACACGTTCTCGAAACGTACACCGTTCAGGCTCTCGAGTAAGCTTATGAGAACGTTGGTTTTACCGCAATTCGACGGGCCGCAAATGATCGTATATAGCACTCGGCAGCATTTCGCCGTGCTTGCGCGGCCTTCTCCGCGCTATCTTCCATCATTCGCGATTTCGCGTCACAGTTCGTAACGCGTATCGTCAGCGGTTGCAGCACGAATTTCATGCTTACACTACAGGCTGTGCGCTCTCGAACGACTATTTAAAGACGTGCGAATCCCGCGAATCGCGCAGTAGCAAAATTTATCTCGCGCTGAGTCATCCTTCCGATATTCGAAACTTGAGTGCCGAGCAATTACAATATATACCGAAGGTCGTACTCTTACTGTACGGCGAATACATCGAACACGTCTGGGAACAGCTTCCGGAACACGTGAAGGCAGATTCGGAGGTTCGAACCAATCGTCGGTGCGACGAGCACTACAATCAGCCGTGGCAGCGAACGCACATCGACGGTCCCGCACCTAAGATAAAGGAATGTAACGAATGTCAGCGTCGGGCGGTAGTCTGTTGAATCGAGCGGTAAACGCACTTCCTTTCGAGTTACATATTCCGGGCCAGTTTTGCGGCCCAGGCACTCGACTTGCGAAGCGATTAGCCAGAGGTGACGCGGGCATAAATTCGCTGGACGCGGCGTGTCGAGAACACGACATTGTGTATTTGCACAGCAACGATCTCGCCGATAGACACGCGGCAGACAATATACTAGCCGAGAAGGCGCGGAAACGCATTACCGCGAGTAATTCGACTCTGGGCGAGAGAGCCGCCGCTACTTGCCGTCTGGGCAGCGATGAAAGCTAAGACTGGCATGGGCATGAAACCGAAGAAGAAGACGACGACGACGAAGAAAAAAACGACGAAAAAGCGGATACTTCCAACTGCGAAACGAGGTGGTGCGTTACCGTTTCTGCCAATGTTGGGCGCGCTCGGGTCCTTGATCGGCAGAGCGGCCAGCGTGGCGAAAGCGGTAAACGACAACAAAGTCGCGCGACGTCAGCTCGAAGAACTGCAACGTCATGACCGCGCGATGGAACAAGGGCGCGGACTGTATCTCGCTCCGTACAAATACGGACGCGGATTGTATCTCGTACAAACATGGACAGGGTGTAGCTGCAAAGAAAAAAAAACGCCAAAGAGACGATAAAAATGCCGTCTGGCGCAACTACCAATGTGCAATTAAACGAGCTCGCGAGACGTATGCGCATATCATACTTTAGAGGCGTTTTCATGCTCAACGCGTTACCGACGAGCGGTGCGCGTCGAAACGAAAGCGGTATCGTGAATCTGGACGATGCGACGGGGCCTGATACTGAGTAGCGTACGCGAAGAGGAACAACCGCGTGGTATACTTTGACAGTTTCGGTAATCTTCGACCTCCCAAGGAACTGGTGCGATATTTCGGGAACGGTGCTACGACGATAGAGTACAATCGTACGTCTTATCAGACGTACGATCAGAGCTTCTGCGGACAGATGTGCCTGCGGTTTCTACAAACGGTAGACGCGCGTGAATTTAAAAAACTCGGCGACATGCTGTGAAATCTCAGTATTAATCGAACACCGTCATGTCCCTAACGCTTACGCTGAGCGGGAAGAGCACCGTCCTCGCGGCAAACTACTTTCCCGCCATAGATTTGAGTGACGGCGATTACGAGCTCGGTCTGGCGATTTTTGAGACTTATCACACGATACCGAACGTGAATCAATCGAACAAAAAATTTTATTTTGCCAAAGGTGATGCGAAAATTACAATTCCCGAAGGTTCGTACAAAGTGCAAGACATAAATGAATTTCTGAAACGCGCGATTTTACGGAAACTCCTCACCGCAACGCTCTTGAAACCGTTGACGTAGTGCGCGGTGACAATAAGAACAATGACGCCGATGATGATAACGGTAAGGGTGGAGAATACCCGATTACGCTCCGCGCAAACTACAACACGATGAGATGCGAGATTAGATGTGCGTACAGAATAAACTTTGACAAGCCCAACAGCATTGGATCGCTGCTGGGATTCTCGTCGAAGCGTATACTACAACCGCGAAGATGGGACGGACATGTCGATCAACATAATGAACGTAAACGTTATCCGCGTAGAGTGACTGCGGGTGCGTACAGCAACGGCAAAAGCGCGCACACGATACATGAATTTTCACCGAGCGTGCCGCCAGGATATAAAATATCGGAAAGGCCGGCGCAGATCATTTATCTACCGATCATTGCACGGAGCATTTCGGATCTAACGATACGCGTCGTCGATCAGAACGGACGATTACTTGATTTTCGCGGAGAAGAGATCACCGTTAGATTGCACGTACGACATCTGCAGTGATAACGTGAGCGTGAGATGCTCGTGTTGAACGGAACGGAGCGCACGCAGAGAGATAACGTATTCTTTACAAGGCCAACGACGTCACAGCTCGATAACACTCGCTCATCCAACTGCATTAGAAAGAAGAAGAAACTCAGCGCGTCGAACGTTACATTTTTAAAGTCTTTGGGATTCGCGGTGCGCAACATTTGAGATGACTGATATCCTAAACATTAAAGACGATCCGATCTTCGACGATCGCATCGTCAAGATTGAGACTCACACGTACAACCTGTTCGCCAACACAACGTTCGGGTACAGTGACAAGATAAGAATACCCATACAGCAACAGGATCTATACACATTGCCGTACGAAAGCTTTCTATACATCGAAGGAAAACTGACGAAGAACAAAGTGATCCAGGGTGCTAACATGTCATTGGGAAATAATTGCGTTGCGTTTATATTCGATGAGATTCGATATGAACTCAATGGTGTGGAGATTGATCGTAACAGAAACGTGGGCATAACTAGCACGATCAAAAACTATGTAACAGTGTCATCTGACAGAAGTGTGATTCTGCGGAATGCAGGCTGGGATGCGCAGACTACTGCGGCCGGATACTTTAATTTCTGTGTACCGCTCTACGTACTGTTGGGATTTTGCAAGGATTACAGACGTGTGGTGATCAACCCTCGTCACGAATTAATTTTAATACGAGCGCGCAACGACAACAATTGTCTGATGGGAGATTCGGCAACAGAGCCGACGCTCGAATTATTCAAAGTACAGTGGCGAATACCGTGTTATTGAGCGAGATAAATAAGCTGTCGATGCTGCGCGCTTTGGAAAGCGGTCGATATCTGACTATGGCTTTTCGCTCTTGGGATCTGTACGAGTTTCCGCTCTTCCAGAGCACAATCAAGCATTCGTAGGCCATCAAGACGACTAGTCAGCTCGAGAAGCCGCGTTACGTCATTTTCGCTATGCAAAC